AAATTTTTCATGTATATTTCCTATTTATGGAAAGACAATGTGTGGAAAGGATGTTATGTGATATATATTATCCTCCTGACAATGATTTTCTACATATAGACTCAAAATTATTGTTCTAAACTAAAGAATATATCAATGTGTCGTGTGCTTATACTTAATATGTATGTATTTCATATATTTTCACTTGTTACATGAGATCCCCTAAAGCATTAATTTGACTCAAATTGAACTTCCACAGTTAATTTATAAATGTGTGTATGGATTAAATTAATAAAATATTAAAAAATTCTTTATATATGCCATCATAGTGTAATATGAACTTACTCTGATCCCGTCGAGAATCCTTGCCTAGTGCCCTTCAAATTTCAATGTGATGCGATATCTCCCTCACTGTATTTTATCCCCAAATACTAGTAGAAAAAATACATGTTATAAAAGCATATCAGTTTTTCGCAAAATCGATGTAAAAAATTCGAGCGGTGAACATTTTTATAAATAAATTAATTATTCACTTTACATCGATTTTCTCTTATACAATTTAACAAAGTCATAATTGTCGATTGTCGCATCGGTTTTTAATAATCGATATACTAAATTGCAAAATATAGCTAATATCATGTACGCGATGGTAGTAATCACCACCATCTTTACAAATTGGCCATGGTAGTCAACAACCCTTAAAAATTTAGAGGATATTACCAAATCCGACTAAATTCGACAGCTAAATTGCAAAATATAGTCAGTATCTTTTAAGCGATGACAATAATAGCCGTCGAATTTGGCCGGACATGGGCAATAACCCTGAATTTTTAAAAGTTGTTGCCTGCTATTGCCAATTCGTAATGATGATGACTATTATTGTCACTACGTACTAGATACTGCAATATTTTACACTTAAACCTAACTGATATGTTAGGTATGTCTTTTAACACGTCAATTTGTTTTTTTAATAATCGACTAGTACGACACCCGTGTACTGGGTTGTTTGAAAAAAAAAATATAAAACATAAAATAATAGAAAAAACACATGTTGTTGTATAACTATTTCAACTCTTTAAAATATATTAGAAAGATCATATAATATTCTATAACTATTTCAATGTATTTTTATAGATATTCTAAAAAGATTTAAATAATTTATTTATGGTTGGATTGAAAAGATATAATATGCAAGTGGCTATATATTTTTTTTTGTAAAATTATAGTATTTTTTTAATTTAAATTATATAAAAAAATTATTGTTTACATTAATTATATAAATAAAATAATATATAAAGCTAAATTTTTTTATTTTGGTTTATACGAGAAGATAAGAATCCTAAGATGTAATGTTGGCAAGTAAGCTTTATAAGAATCCTATTTATTTGAGAAGTCTTATAAGATAAGAATCCTATTTATTTTGGAGTTTGAGGATTCGCACGACATATAAGAATCCTATCCATTAAGTATTTTATTTTAAACAATTAGGAAATGTATTCGAACCAAAAGCCGAAGCATGTAATGTTCCCAAGTAAGCTTCCGAAGCGTGCGAAGCAGCCATTTAGGCTCAGCAGGTTTTCAAATTATATTAAGAGGGGATGTGGTAGACATTTCTTTAATACATATATGTTGAAAAATCGATGTGTCATATTAATAAATTGTCGTTTTGCACATTGGTTAATAACCGGTATGTTAGGTTATTTTTTAACATGCAGCTTTGAAAGCCGATGTTTGATATTAATTAGTAATTAGGGGTTCACTGTTGACTCACAACGCTTCCCGTAAAATCGTCCCAAGCACTTCACTGTCACAACTCTTAAAATAGAAATTCTCCTCTAAAATCAGTCGCATGGGGCCCGTCTGCTGAAGCTCTCTCCGTCTATCGCACTCGACCTCGACGCTTGTCGTCACCCGACTTTTCCTGACTCTCGTCTAGCCAAAAATTGCCAAAAGCCCTAGTCACACTCGGCCCACGCCGTTTGTCCCAAGCCCTAGTCGTCTCACTCAACCCATCATGTACTCGACTCTCGTCGTCCGCCTCCACCGAATGTTCTTAGTCCGTGCTACTCTCAGTTGCCAGCAGAGAGTACAAACCCTGCCCCCTCAAGCCGAGCCATATCCGTGCTACAAGGTACAAAGTTGAAGCACACTGAGGTAGATAAGTCCGCGTTGGCGCTCATCTCGGTCGCCCCTAAGTTTTTCTTCTTCTTCTTTATATTATTATTATTATTATTATTATTATTATTATTATTATTATTATTATTATTATTTAATAATGAAGAAACACCCTAGAAGGGTGGGAATTAAGGCCTCATCCCAAACATGTAAATAATTAAGACCCTAATTGGGCTAAAAAAAACATAGGTCTACACAAGTTCAAATAAAAACGAGAAAAAAAGTCTGAATCCGGACTGACAGGCGCCGCTTAGGCGATAGTATAACGCCCCGTTGATTTTTTTAAAAAAAATCTGGACTTTTTCCAAAAATCACAATTAAATTTTTGAAATTCATTTTTCGATTTCCAAACATTTTCGGGGTTACTCATTCATTTCATAACATAGTTCAAGTCGTGTCTGAACTCACGGTGATTCATTACCCGATTTTCACAAGGATTTCATTATCCCATCACAAACATGATCATCACAATATAGGCATGTCAACATAAAAACTAATTCATCAGGTTTCATAACATAGAAAATTAAACCAGCTCATGGGTTCAAGATCAATTTGTCATGCCCAAAACCAAAATCCACAACTTTCAAAACAACGTAGTTTAAAAATAAAACAAGTTCAACATGTTCAACAATAATGTGGAAGCAATAATAATCACAAATGCAGACCAGTCACTTGTCTCCTCGTTGCCATGTCGGCTGCCTGCTTGACCTGAAAGGGTGGTTACATGGGAGTGAGCACAACACTTGCTCACTACTATGAAAATAAATCAAATATATATGACAGATAGGTATGGTCGCAGTATGAACATGAATCAATCAACATATCACATCTCCTAATCACATCATACTCCTGTGTACACATCTTTCATTAGCCAGGGAAGGGAATTCATTACCCAACGGTGGGAGTACATGTCGAAGGTCTCAATGTAGCGCCCCATTCGATTTATAGAATATCCTGGATTATTCTATTTATCGAATATTATTTTATAAGATTATGTTTATTGTATTAGTCCCAATGTCGACTAATATTCTATGTTGAAGTACTCGATCGTTTTATTTTAAAACATTCATCGTTCGGCGATTCTGGTTTAATCGTGTAAGTCGAATCTAAGCTGTTCGTTTATTTGGATTTTCAGATAATTGTGGAATTATCCTTATTATTATTATTACAATTATTATTATTATTATTTAATTGTCTAAATGGAATAATTTGTTTGATTATATATTTATTGTTGTGTGTAAAATAAATATATATAGTGTCGGTTTAAATTTGTTCGGGTCATCGTATTTGTTTTCCTGGCATTACAGATTTATATATATATACCGAGCCTCGAATATTCGTTACGTGTCGAGCCCGAGAGTCGAGCCGTATGTCTAGCCCGTAACCCGCGCGCCATCGAACCAGGTGAGCCCGACCCGGTTCGCCTCTCTTTCCCTTCTGTGCATGTGTGTGTTGTGTCTTGTGTGCCAAGACTCAAAACCTAGCCTATATATATATATATATATATATTTTGCTCCCTCTCTCGTTCAGAGCTCATCAAACATGCCCGCAGCCTTCTCGATCTCTCTCCCTCTCAAATCTGCTCTCGTCTCTCTCGCCATAATCGGGCCGCTGCCATCACCTCCCTCCCTCTCGTTTTTCCGATCGCCAGTCTGTCGTCTCCACGCAAGCCGCCGCTGTGAGCAGGCCACCCCGACGTGAAACAGCGAACCCTCTCCCCCGTGCGCAACTTCGGCAGCTCTTCCTCTCCGACGAGCGACCAGCCGCGCGCCAGCCACAGTCCTCCGTCCCTTCTGCCAGCGCTCTTCCTCCGCCGTCACACGAGACACCACTGGCGATCGTCCCTGCTTGACTCTCGCCCCGACGTGACGCGCACTTCACTGTTGCAGACTACTGTGAGCGGCACTCTGTCGATTGTGAAGACAACGCCGACGTCTCCTTCTTTCCCTGAGCGACGCCCGACAACTTCAGCTAGAGCTTGACCGTGAACGACTCGCGAAACAGCATCACCGCCGAGACTTTCCGCCGTGAGTCCGGGTTCGACCAAAATGTCCGCCTTCGATCCGCTCGTTACCGCCGTACGCTGCCTACATTCACGAGCCTATCGGTCGCTAGTGCCGAGCCGCAGCCATGAAACCGCCGCAAGAGATCCCGACCGTGCTCAACCGTTCATCCGTGCGAGAACGAACTGAGGCCGAGCGTGAGTCGCCTGAGGTTTGTTGATTTATTTCTGGGTCCCAACCGAGGAACCGAGCCCTCTTTCAAAAATATTGTACTAGACCTCATCGTCCGGGTATGCAGTCGGATAGTTCGAGCAGTGGTTCGAGTTTGGACAACGATGGTTCCTGGATGGTAACGATAGAAGAAAATCGAAAGAAAAGAGGAGAATTTTGGGACTTCAAACTGTCGCGACCACCACGACTTTAGACGCAGTGTTCAGGAGTGTTCGACCTCTGGTTTTTCC